TCTTCAATCTCATTAATTTCTCTTTATTTTTATTATTATTATTTTAAAATTTGAGCGAGCGATGAACAAGAAAGTTGAATATTTGTGTCTCCAAAATTTTCGGCTAAGCAACGAATTAAAAAAAAAATCAGTATTTATCTATTATAATTTAATTTTATATAATATAAATGGCAGTGTAAACTACAAAAAGGAATATTTTTTACACATATTATGGTATCATAGGATTCACTTGAAATTTCTTGTCTGCAAATTGAAGTTTTTTTTTCACTCGACTAGACCCATTACCATCTATTATAATTTATTTAAGAATAGTTACTGAATGAAAAATACTATGGGAGAGATCACATTTTTATACTGCGGACTTGTTATTGATAACGGCTGCGACGCGTCCCAGTCATTTGGTTTTGACTTTGCGATGGTGCAAATTTAAAATCACACGAACGGTTCGATTTTCTCCACCTGGATGATTGGATTTTAGGTGTTTAAATTGAGTAAGATGCATGCCGGTGTGTGGACCCCATATCTCATATCCAATAGGTGTAGTGAGGTTACTGATGGATTTTCGAAAAAGATAAAGGAGAGGTTATTGATGGATGATTCAAGAAAATTATTATTCGTCGACACGGAGGTGTTTTTTTAATGCGGACGTCGACATGGTGATTGTCTTTATTGTTGAAGGAGATTTTTTTTTTTTTTTGGTCTGAATATTGTTGAAGGAGATTATGCTGTATATAACGCCGACCGTAAGTGTTACTGTCATGCGATATAGTCATGGATTTCACATGGCGTAGCATATTAATGTTTAATTATTGCTAATATCATGATGGCTACTTTCTACAAAATTGAGTAAATTCTTTTTATATAAAAAATACAGAGTGACAATTATCATCTAGGTTTATTATATAAGCAATTCACGCTTATTTTTCCAAGTGTGAATAATAACTCATTTTAAATTAGTGATTAGGTGAATTTTTGTACCAATTCACTAGTTTGACAACAAAATATATCAAATATCTAGTAAAACAAGTTGAGCTATACCACAAGTTTTATGGTGAAGATAGAAAGTAAGAAATACCAACGGGGTTTTGTCCGATGGAAAAAAAAAACTTTGATTTGCAGATCAGAGGTCTTATGTTTGAATCCCCATAACATCTTTATTGTATGTGTGTGTGAAAACTCAAATCCCTGATAATTCAGACTATCAATTATAATAAAAAAAAGTGAGAAATTAATTTGAAGTACCAATAATACTTTTTTAATTGTGTACTTATTTTTGGTACTAGAGCACCGTATGACTAGGACAGCTGTTTCTTGCCTTGCGGGTGCAACTCATGCTTATTATTATTTCCTTTTGTTTTTTTAGATCCCGCGACGCCAAACAATTAACTAATAAATAAGTACACAACTATTAATAAATAAATAAAATTCAACCAAAAATGGATTAAATTAAATAAAGTTGTCTTCCAATTCAAGAGATAATTATTTTTTTATTTTTATTTTTTCTGAAACGATTGTACGTTATTCATAATTATTAAACATCATTTTTCTTTTGAGAGTTTCACTAAAATACCCAAAATGGGGGTTGAAATTATAAAAAAACCTAAGTACTATTTAAACATATAAACACACCCAAAACCCATCATTACACACACTCAAAACTCATTTATAAACACACCCAAAAAGTTGACTTTGGGGTTGATTTTGGGTGTGTTTCTATGTTTAAATAGTGTTTGAGTTTTTTTATAAATACATATCTAGAATTTAGTTTATTTATAAATTTGTATTTTCTTTTTTGGTCTGTGTGTTGGATAAATTAGGGGTAGGTTGTAGATGTTGTTCCTTATTGACTAATTCTTGGTTTTCCTTGTGTGGTCGATCCCAGGATTGAGATCCCATAGTCGTAGTTATCCATATCTATCATGGACATGTCAGCCCAATTTTGCGAGCCTAGATGTAGATTTTTCTTGGGGATATGATTTAGAAATGTTACTGTTAATCTCTAAAATTATAACACGTGTGGAGTGATGTGTTTATGTTTTAAGTATTTTATAAATAATTGTACATATTTCATGTATAATATAAGGTGGATTGGTGTACAATGGCAAAATTAAAGTAACGCTTTCATAGTATTCAAAACTCAGATATAAAATAAATACAAACACAAAAATTTCGAGGACGGGTAAGACTAATCATATCTGTAAAAAGTTCATAACAACAGTCAAAAAATCAAACGACCAAATCCAAAATTTAACATATAAAAAACTTTAAATCAAATGTTCTACACATGTATGTATGCATTATTCATGTTTAATAAATGCATTTTTTACTAATTTGTTGATTCCTTTAATACAAATTTATAAATAAACCCAATCCTAGACATGTATTTATAAAAAAACCCAAGCACTATTTAAACATAGAAACAAACTCAAAATCAACTCCAAAGTCAACTTTTTGGGTGTGTTTATAAATGAGTTTTGAGTGTATGTAATGACGAGTTTTGAGTGTGTTTATAAAGTGTTTTGGGTGTTGGGTATTTTTATAATTTCAACCTCTATTTTGGGTGTTTTAGTGAAACTCCCTTGTTTTAATAAGGATGATTGGAGTAAAAAATTGGGTGATTATGTTTCTTTAAGACTAGGTTTTAATCTTTTGAAGCTCCATGTTCTCTCTCCACATATAGAAATGAGTAAGGAATACATTATGTTCTCGAGATTGTAAAGTAGAGACGCACATCAACCCTTGGCATTAGTTCAAGTAGTGAAGGAGAGTAGAGTATTGGGTTAGGATTATATTAGAAAAACGTAGTTCAACCCTTGGCATTTTTTCCAAGAAAAAATAAACCCACTAGAAAAAAGTACTCTTTCTACCTTCATCCCTAGACCCTCACAAATTAACCCAGCACACGTCTTTAAAAATAAAAAATAAAAAAAAAAATCTTGAACAAAACTTCTATGATCTCCATCATGGATTGGTGACTGACAAATGAATGCTCAAACTGTGGTTTGAGCATTATGTTCAGCACATCAGCGTTGAACACAACACATAGTGTTAGTGTTATGTCCAGCCAATTAAATACATATATGGAAACATTATATATATATATATATATATAAATACTCATCCTTCTTCACACCTTTCGAGTTTGGGTTTTTCAGGGGTTTGGAAGAGAAACTTTTTATAATGGACGTAGTAGGACAGGTAGCATTCCTTTTGGACATAATTTTGCAGTTTTTCCTGGCTTACAGAGATGGTCAGACATATCGAATGGTCTATAAGCGAACTCCTATTGCTCTCAGGTTAGTATATTCTTTTCACTCTGGCTGTTATGTTAGCTTATGCAATTGTCTTAGCAACAGTAGCATATATATACGGTTTTGTCGATTCTTATCATATACCACCATAGTCATATAAGCTAGATGCTGAAATGTTGGAAACACAATCTGATTGTCTATGTTTATAGAAGAGTAGGTTGTGGTAATGGGTTTTAACTGTTTAAACTTCTTAGCAAGTAATCACTACTTACTGGTATGTATAGAATTTAGTTACCACTTTAAAGCAAACAAATGTACATGGTAATTTCACAAGCTATGTTCTTCCAGCATTTTACTTTATTTCCAGTGCAGTGCCGAATTTAACTTTTCCTTTGCAGGTACTTGAAATCTAATTTTATCATTGATCTGCTTGGTTGTATGCCTTGGGATAACATCTACAAGGTAATTCCAATTTTACCCATATATATCTCTCAACACCATTTTCTCCTTTTTTGTATTTTGAATATTGAGGGTAGCAGGGGGTCTTTCATTTTTTATTGTTATTCAGGATTATGCGTTATGACATTTGAGTGGTGGCTTTTTATAGTTATGGGTAAGTAACTGTATGAAAAAGATTGTCGCGAGATAATTTAATTAACTGCTTAGGATAGATGTCCCAACTCTTAAATTTAAGTTTAAAATTTGAGCTAACACTCAAATTTTCGTATATAAATGGGCAGGTAACTCTATGTCAAGTGACAATCCTTAGTCATACGCCTTTATTTGTTCAGAAAACATTTTATTGCTTTCAAGGATAATACATGCTCTTGGATGGGTCTCCTAACTGTATTCTTTACGGATGGGCGGTTTATGTGACTTGCCCATCAACACTTTCAGGCAGGAAATGTTAGTTTGTTACTACTCTTGTTTTGCCAATGCATGAGATTTGCAGGCAGATGTACCGAATCTATGAGATCAAAATAAATTTGCAGCATATATCTTGATTTGTTAAAGTAATAAAGTTGATCTACTATAATGCTTGCAATATGTTTCTTCTTCCGTATTCACTTGATGAAAGCTGTTTTTGAATAGGTTTGTGGGAGAAGAGAGGAAGTGAGGTATCTCCTATGGATAAGGTTAAGTCGGGTGCGCAAAGTCACTAAGTTCTTTAAAGACCTAGAGAAGGATATTCGTATCAATTATAATTTTACCAGGGTTATAAAGCTTCTTGTTGTTGAACTCTATTGCACGCATACAGCAGCCTGCATCTTTTACTATTTGGCTACCACCTTGCCTGCTTCACAAGAGGGGTACACATGGATTGGAAGTTTGAAGTTAGGTGACTATAGTTATTCAAACTTCAGGGATATCGACTTATGGAAGCGCTATACAACTTCTATGTATTTTGCCATTGTAACCATGGCCACTGTTGGTAAGTTACTTTTTAAATATCTTTTTAATGAATACAACCGCATTTTGCTTATCATTTCAGTTTTCATCTTGTGATTGCGACTATCCTACTAAAAAAAAACTGTTCTAGTGCTGACTTCAAGACTGTAGTTCTTACGTGATTTCTGTTAGTGGTGGTGCTTTTCCTTCTTTCTTTCTTTCTTCTTTGATTGTAAATCTGGTTGGCAACTATCATGGTTGTTTTGGCTAGGAAAGCTCTTCTGCGATGGTAGAGCAATGCAATATGCCAATTTTCTTTTCTTTCTTTAGTTCGGTGATTGTTCAACCCAAGACTTGATTTTCTTAATAACTCGGAAGTTGGAACTAATGCTAGCATTCTGTCAATGTTCAATTGTTTAGTTTTATGAGGAACTCCTTTTAATTGTTCTCTCTCTCTCTCTCTCTCTCTCT